TTTCTTTCTTTTTTTTTTTTTTTGAGACAGAGTCTCACTTTGTTGCCCTGGTAGAGTGCCTTGGCATCACAGCTCACAGCAACCTCAAATCTTGGCTCAAGTGATTCTCTTGCCTTAGCCTCCTAAGTAGCTGGAACTATATGCGCCCCAACAACACCTGGCTATTTTTAGAGATGGGGTCTTGCACTTGTTCAGGCTGGTCTCAAACTCGTGAGCCCAGGTGATTCACCCACCTCAGCCTCTCAAGGTGCTGAGATTATAGGTATGAGCTACCGTGCCCGGCCCTGATCTTCTTTCTACCCATGTCTGGTAACAGCCACGACTCCTTTCCACACGCTGTGTTCCTTTATGCCTTTCCTACTCTAACTTCATTCTAGGAGGTTTGGAGACAGCTGAGGCCACCTCCTACCTGTCAGACTGGGCATGTGACCTGGATCTAGCAAATCAGAGCATCCTTTCCTTCCTCCCACCAGTGATTGGTTTGGTACCAGCATGTGACCCAATCTGGCCAATAAGAATAAGCCATGCACTGATGGCATTATTGGAGGAAAGATGCTGTCTTTCTGTTGAGTGACTGAATAAGAAAGATGATAGCCAGCAGCCACCATGAGGTAAAAGACTGCGGTAAGTCTCTTCCCTCACTGCAAATCAAATCAACACGAAGCTAAGCTGAGAGGCCAAGAGAGAATGTTGGTCACACTGCCTGAGCGCCTGGTTCAAGCTAGACATGAAGCATACCAATTTTGGAGTTCAAGCTAGGTTGAGCTGTGTTTTGACAGTCATTTATAACCAAATGCATCCTGACTAATGCAAAACTTCAAAGGAACAGAGCCAGGCTCTGTGAAGTCCTAAATATTTGCTTCTTCCCTCACCTCCAAAGCAACCCAGAAAAGTGTAACCCTTTTTAAGATAAGTCTGCAGCATTGGTCTTGTGATGGAACAGGCCTGAAGCCTCCCAAATCACTCACATGTGGAGTGTGCACCTGCAAGTCCTGCTGAGGAAGCGCCTGCCCGTCATACCACTCACCTGTGGACTGTGCTTCTCCCACAGGGCAGGGATGAGCCTCTGGACTGTCTTGTATTCAACCGGAATCTCATACACATGTAGGTCCACACTATCACCAAGGCCCAGTTTTTCTAGCTCCTAGAAGTGAGGAGAGAGGGAGTATCGTGGCATCAGATGAAGGCTATAGGGATAACGCATTCCTTGGGGAAGAAACGGCCTATCCTCAGAACACTGGTGGCTCTCTTGACTCATTCTACAGAGCAAGAAGGGGAATGTGTTGAGTGACCCCAAATCTCTCATCCCCACCCATTTATCTCCAATTCTTCCTGAGTTTCCATGGAGTTGGCAGGACTACATGGCTTCTGGAGCTAGGGTCCCAGGTTTAAACCCTGTCTATGCGACCTTGGATAAGCCAGTTAACCTCTCTGAGCCTCATCTATAAAATGGGGATAATAAACTACTTGCCTCATGGAATAGGTGTAAAAATTAAATGAGCTCATTCACACTAAAAGTTCTAAGCAATGCCTGGCACGTTTTAAGTGTCTAAATAACACTGACTGTGTTGCAACTATTATTTTTGTTGTGGTTTGTTATACTTTCCCCCTTGTTATACCTGATACAAATTATTTATAGATTTGATGCACAGACAAAATCTATTTATAGACTTGGTGCACAGACATTTACAGCTTGACCGCACTCCTTATGAGAAGTTTTAAGAATACCATGGCCCAGGGACAGTGACTCACACCTGTAATCCCAGCAGTTTGGGAGGCTGAAACAGGAAGACCACTTGAGGCCAGGAATTTAAGACTAGCCTGGACAACACAGAGAGATCCCATCTCCCCCCCAAAGAAAAACTTGCTGGGCATGGTGATGCACACTTGTAGTCCCAGCTACTTGGGACGCTGAGGTAGAAGGATAGCTTGAGTCCAGGAATTCAAGGCTGCAATGAGCTATAATCGAGCCACTGTACTCCAGCCTGGGTGACAGAGCAAGACCCTGTCTCTATTAAGAAAAAAAAAGAAAGAATGTCATGAATTACAAACAAAAATGGGCTACATATAGTGTGTATATAATTTTCTAGGGAGGCACCAATGTTTTCTTTTCTTTCTTTTTTTTTTTTGGCCACGGGCTGGGTTTGAACCCGCCATCTCCGGTATATGGGGCCAGCGCCCTACCCCTTTGAGCCACAGGCACCGCCCAGAAACACCAATTTTTTTCTTGTGGTCTGCCAAAGTTCTGGCTGTTAAACCCTTGGGGGTGAAGCCCACAACCACATTCCTTCCACAGCTGGCCCACAGCACAACACACAGCAGACCAACAATCATATTTGTTGGGTGAACAATGATTCTGACAGCTCCATCACCCAGTAGCTTTTTTTGAGACAGGGTTTTGCTTTGTTCACAGCAGCCCTGAACTCAAGCGATCCTTCTACCTCAGCTTCCAGAGTAGTTGGGACAACTACTAGGTGCATACCACTGCACCTAGCCTAGGAAGAGTCAAAAAATAACATCACATCCCTTCCCTGTTCCCAACTTCTGATGGCTCCCACTATATTCAGAAAAAAACTCCAACTCCCCATGATGGCCCTCAAGGCCCTGCAGCCTTCTCCTTGCCTTCCTCTTCCTTCCCCCGCCTCCCGCACCTTGCTACTTCTCCCCAGCCCACCATATAGCCTTGCCTTACTGACCCTCTAACACAACAGGCTTGCTTCCTTCTGCCTCAGGACCTTTGCTCCGGCTATTCCCTCTTCTTAGAAAGCTGTTCCCCTCATTTCCTGTTAGTCGACTTTTCCTGAGCCTTCACATCTCAATCTCCTGGGAAGTCTTTCTTGACTCTCAACCCAATTCACATACTCTCTCCATCCCCAGGTCATTGTCCTTGCCACAGTGCAGGATGATCACACAACAGGTCACTGAGAATGTTGTTTGGGTAACTGAGAGCAAGCATAGACCTCTGTGGCCCTGGGCATGTCACTGAACCTCCTGAGACTATCTCACTTTCCTCAGCTGGAAATAGGGACTAGTTGGGACCACTTTTTTTTTTTCCATCCTTTCCTATATTTTAAAGGAGCTCTGCACAACTCATGACAACCAAGATGTGGAAACAGCCCAAATGCCTGTGACTGAAGAATGGGTAAACCAAATATGGCATAATGGAATATTATTCATCCAGAAAAAGGATTGAAGCACTGATGCCTGTTACAACATGGATAAGCCTCAAAAACATGATTGGGGGCTCGGCGCCTATAGCTCAACCGGCTAAGGCGCCAGCCACGTACACCTAAGGTGGCGGGTTTGAATC